AACTCCTTCCTAAAAAAAAAAAACAATTGACATATTAAGCCTTTAAATAAAGATGCCTGTCAAATAGGTAGAGCACTTTTCCATGGTGTAGTAATTTTCTATATTCAGAGAATTCTTTCATGTGAAAAATCACTCAGTCATAGAACCTGCAGTGCTAGAGACTATTTCAGTAAGAACCTGGCATGGATAAATAGGTAACAGAAAAATATTAAATGAACATAATAAGTATGCCATGTGAATTTCAAGTAGCAGGAATATATCTAAATTGATAGCATTTTGATAGAAGAACTGTAAAGCAGGGAGGGAGTGTACATGGTTGAGCTCATTGAAAAAATAAAATTCTATCCTACAGATCTTTATATAATTTTCATGCAAAAGGCAAGTCTCATGTAGACAGTACTGAAATTTTGATGGACAGCTAAGTCTTGAAGGCTGAAGATGAGCTGCATGTCAATTACTGAATTGCTAGTAATTGTTTGCAGAATGGGAGAATTAAATTATTGACCATCTGAGTGGGAAGAATGCATGGATATCATAAAAAAATAATGTAAGAACCAGTGGAATTTAATAAACTTTTCAAGCTCCACAAAATGCAATTATTTATTTAGGTATGCAATATATTTTGATGGTAAAATACACACTTATACAGTTACCCTATTGGGCATTACATTTTGATGCCACTCAAACAACGAGTCAATCTAGCATGGTGCAGGGTTAGCTTTTAATATGGGAATTCTAAGCTCATATCCATTGTGACTTTGAGGGAAAAGGTCCTTTCTCTTATTTACAGCCTCAAAGTTGATGTAAGGTTAAAATGCTGCTCTGTCCTCCTCGAAGGAAACACAGGATAAGTTAATAGAATAATATCTTGTCACCAGGGAATTTTTATTCCCCTATTATTATTATTGCCTCGGCTGCTCCATTTTATTTTTAGCATGCACGCATCTCAGCATCACGTGTAGTTTGATTGTTAGATAGCAAATGGGTATGTACATGACTGAATGGCAACTTTATCCTTTAAAAAGGAAATAATCAATTCTATAAATTAATAGAGTGGCATAGTTTCAAACTTTTACTAGATTGCAAAAAACACACACATAATATTATTATTTGTTTGAATATTGTTCTATTACTTATAGACCAGAGGCCAACCTCTGGTCCATGGACCAGCACCGGGCCACGGCATGCCAGCAATTGGGCTGCACAAACAAATGAAGCCCCGTCCATGGGATGCAGGCAGCACACAAAACCATGCCCCCTCTGGTCCATGGAAAAGCCTTTTTCCATGGAACCAGTCCTTGGTGCCCAAAAGGTTGGGGGCCTACTGCTATAGACCATTCTCTCTAGCAGAGTGAAAAGATTTTTAAAAATCTGACTTTCTGCTACTTATCCCAATAATCTAAAGCAGAAGATTCTAAAACAGAACACTTCTTTTTCTTCAGTACAGTGGTAAAAAATAGCATTTGCAAGAAGGTTGCAATTAGCTTCAGTTCCAGATTTGTCATGAAGATTGGTGCCTTGCCTCACCATTATGTGCCATGTGAAATAACATTTAGAATCTATTTTCCAAAACATAACAAACACAACATCAATAATACAATACAAGTTCTTTATGATACCCTATCAGTGAGTCCCACAGAAAAATTATGGGAAAGAAATCTGGAACAATTTATTTTGAATGCACTGCAAAAATCATTGATAGTTTTCAACTCCCTATTTTCAAAGAACCATTCCTGTATAAAACATATGTCATTTACCTGATGGGCTAAGTAATCAGATATTAAATGAAAGAAAGGTTGCCCAGGAGAATTTCTATGGAAATGTTTTTCAGCTGTATAGGATGTCAAGTAATAATTAAGGATACACATCACAAATTTTATGTATCAAGTTTCATTACACTGGCTCATTGTTGACATGATATAAGAAGACACTCAACATAGATTATAAAAGTAAAATACACAGGATACACAATATATTTGTTTTGTTCATCTTTGAATCTATTCTTTTGTAAGAAAAGGCAGAGAGAAAATTGTTGTCCTCCTACTGTCAGAATACTTGAGATTCCCTTCCCCCCCCCCTTTTGGTTTTAATTTACCATCTCTTCTATGTCCTAAAGTGTGGCAAAGGACATGATTTGGTTGATGTAATAGTTCCTTTTAACCCAGCCTTCACCACTTCTCCATATTTGGCACCATCATACACCCAAATAAGTGAACCAAGAAAAGGGAGAAACATACCCATGGATGCCACACAACTGCATAAAATATTCTGAATACAGGAGGCTTCTTTCAATCCAGCAGCATTTAAAGAGATTTCTCTTCCAAGGCTAATTTTAAACAAGCGTGTTGAAAAGGACACTGTTCCTTTGGGACTACAGTATAGCAAAGGACAACCATGTCAAGTCTTCCCTTTTTTTACATTTCCTATGTAATACTACCTTCTACTTTTTTTGCTGACCTGAGGGTAAAGGAGGGGGGGGGTTGACAAGTAAAAAATGGATAGAGTCTGTAGAATTGGGGTGGAAATACACACCACAGAACAGGAAGAATAAAAATCTTTCAGACCCCTAGATATTCCTGGATAAAATTCCCAGCAGTACACTCAACATAGCCCATACTCAAACTTGGATGAAGAAATTGGAGGAAGTAATGGACATGGAGTCTTTCTTTTCTATTAAACTCAAGAACCCTTCTCTAAATTTCTAGGGAAGTCAAAAACCCAAAAGGCAAAAAAAATAAATTAAAAAAAAATCCCAAACCTAAACTCTGAAGCTTAATAAATTTGTTCACATCTGATCAATTTGCTCACTAGGATCCATACCTACTGCAAGAAAGAAATTATTTCCAAAAAGATATAATCTAGAATCAGGACACATACATGTTGCTACAACACAAAGAAAATAAAACTTAAGGGACACCTACTTGGCTATTTTTCTGGGGTGGAACCTTCACTCTGGAATTCTTTTACCAAAATATATTTACTTGGTACCAAATCTGTTTCATTGGCATAAATAAAAGCCTTTTTATTTTAAAAATCTTATGTTTAACTTAAATCTTAAATCTTAAAATTTAAATCTATGTTTAACATTTTGTCATCACATTTTAATTATCTTAAAGATTCTGTACTGAGAGTGAGCCACTCTTGGAATGAACAATGAGTGTGAATACTAAATGCTTCATTAAATCAATACATAATATAATAATAATTGAGTATCAAAAGTTAGCTCAGGATCATTCTTCAGCCCTAGCTTTATGCCAGCTACTATGGAAGACAATGAGCCACAACTAACCCTCTAGGTGAGTATGTGCTGCCTCTATGCTTGGCTGATATAATCATCATTTTAATAACAATATGTGGTTTTTCCTGCCTTCACTTTTGCCAAAAAGAAGCCAGTATAGTTTCAATTGTGGATTGAATTCATACTCATTTATCCTACCTCTTTCACTGAGGTTTATCCTCAAAGCAATTCAGCTAGGAACACTGAAGGGATGCTTTGATTTGTATCTTTCTACTGAAACCTAGATTGGATTTAATTACCCAAATGGGCCAATTCCACATGGGTCCATTACTGACCACTACTTGACCTGTTGAGTAAGATCATGGTCCTTAATCAGAATTTCCTAGCAAGCCAACAAATGTCAAGTGATGGGCTTAATTCAACCCCAATTCTTGTTTAAACAGCCTTATGACAATTCCTCCTCTTCTGGAATATAAGCAATTCTTCATGTTTAATCTAGCATAAAGCCATGATTCATAAACATGCTTCTTTCACTCTTGATCCATAACTTAAAGGATAAATTTTATCAGAATATACCAGCTTTGATCAATCATTGGTCATTTCTTAAGGGAAGTGCCTATACTTTAAAACAAAATGCAGGAACCTCATGTCATTGGATTGTCATTATCCAACAGCATCCCCTCCCAAGAAGACATCAAGACAATGTCCCACTAATGAACAAAAAGTTAAACTGATATAGCAAAAGCTTAATAACAGCAAAGATCCCGAACATGGAAATATACTGAAATTTTGATTATTCCCATTCATTTCACATCCTACAGTGTTCAGACTGCTTGGATAAACTTAATTCTATCTGCTAATTTAGTGAGAAAATGGAGATAGTGGCTGTATTCATATGAGGTGGCTACCCATAGATCATCCATTTCTGGGTTTTACATGACACAGCGATCCAGAATGTAATCACACTTGACATAAAATAGAACAAGGCCAAGTGGACTGGAGTAGTTTATGCTTGAGTGGGGCACGTAAGCAGCCTCAGATGACTCCTTGTCATCCTCTTCGGAGCCCCTTCTGATGAGCAAGCAGCAACAGTGACATCGCTGCTCCAGGTCCTCACCCACACAGCTCCACCTGCTGTGTGCAGGAAGGCAGGAATCCTGCTCAGGGCAATCTCCTTCGCAGCTTCCTATCATTCGGTTCAACAAGCGAATAATAAAGGTGATCGCCAGGAGCAGCAGCATCTCTCCACTTGCTCACCCCTTCTTTCTCTAGGCAACGCGCAGGAAGGCTGGGCCTAGCGTGGCCTCTCCCAAATGCTCTCCACTCCAGGCAGCGGGTGTTCTGGAGTCCAGACGGCCCGCTCGAGTCTTCAAACGACCCACCTGCGTGCGCTGCCCCCACCTACCGGCTTCCTCTTTCACTCCGCCGTCGCGCAACTAGAGCAAGGGCAAGGAGTGTGCCGTCTGCCCAGAAGACCAAGCTACGGAGCCAGTTTCTATCAACTGCAGCCAGCGCTGCTTCCCTTTCTCTCCCCGTTTCCTTGGGTTGGGGAGGGTCTCTCGGCCAGGAGACGGCCTGCCCTCATTGGCACAAAAGGCCTCGGGGGGCAAAGAATCAACCTGGCTGCCAACTTGGAGTGGTCATAGCTTGGGATCTCGGAGCGTCGGAATCCAGCGAAGAAACGGAAGAGTTTGGGGACTGGGCCTGTGATTAAGGGAAGGGGCAACTAGGCCGGAGGGAGGGGTGAAGGGGGGGGACTCACCCAGCACGAAGTAGGGCAGCTCGGTATTCTCCAAGTCATCGACCACCACCATCTCGCCGGGAAAATCATTGCGGACCGAGAAGAGCAGCTTGGGCTCAGAGGCCGAGGGGCTGTGCATGATGCTTAGGTCGTTCTCCCTCAAGAAGGGCAACGCTGACACGGTGATGCTCTTCAGTTTGCACTCCATCTCCTTGGAAGGGTCCCCGCCTGCTTCAGCCGGCCCGGCAGCCGCGGGCCCGGAGGCAGCGGCGGCGGCGGCGGCGGCGGCTGCATTGGCGGCGGCGGCCGTGAGGCTGCAGCAGCAAGAAAGCCAGATGCAGACGCCAGCTAAAGCCATCTTGCGCCTGATCCGCCTCGCCTTGCAGGCACAGAGGAGCCGGCCGAGGGGGCGGGGAAGAAGATCCCTGGTCCAGAAAGGGGCTTGCAGTTGCAATGCAATCAGGAAAGGGGCGGATTGTGGGAGGCTCTTTGTCTCCAAGGCGCTGCAACCGAGCGAAGGCAGGCGGAGGAGAAGATCAGGCGAGCGGGTTTGTCTTCGAGTTGGCTGCCTTCCTCCTCCTTTGCATCTTCTCCCCAGCTCACTCACGCACACAGGCGGCTAGTCACCACCTGGATTATACAACGCTGGGTGGGGAGGGTAGACGCAGCTATATTTTGCCATGCAAAATTGTTTTCAAGCCTTTCCCAGGGCCCTGGCAATTGAGAGACGCACCTGATAGGTACCATGCCAGACACAACTTCCATTTAGTTCAACCCCTTTTTCTCATTGGCAAACTAGATGTTTCTGAGAATTACACAAGTCAAATGTAAACCAAACCACATGCCAACACTTGATAGAATACCCTGCTCTTCGATTTAGCTGTTGTGATTAACTGTTGCAGGGCCTATCCATCCCTTTTAACATCACAAATCCCAAAGTAAAGGAACCAAAACCATTTCCATTCTGGCACCAAGAAAACTAAAAAGACTGTCCATAAAATCACCAGGAAGTGAACTGAACTTGAAGGAAACTTTTTATCATTTTTTTTCTTTAACTGAATGAAGCTGTTTGTTTTTATTTATCTTTTGTAAATCAACAGAGTGGCAATGTGGCTTTCCTTAAATGTTCCCTCTAGAACTGAGCAGGGCGGGGCAAATGGGAAATCAAGCAAGAAATCTCAGGATGATAGGCTGAACTAGGTTTTTAATCACCTTGAGATTAAAGACAATTACAGTGACAGTGACAATCACTCATGTATTGCTACCAGGAAGATTGCACATGATTGTGCTTATATGGCTCCCAGTTTCACAGCATTTACTTAATTCTGCTTCACTGATCTTAGGGGACAGTGCTGCATTTCCTTTTATGTGGAATAAAAAGACTTAACATTTAAAGCCTTGTGGAAAATTGGATTTTGTGAATCAAATGACTTGTTGCTATGGGTTCTTCCATATAGACCTACTGATTCATTAGCAAAAATCTCTGCATGTGATCTGCTTGAGATCATTCTAGTGAACAGTGGAGTGAGTGTTAGCTGGCTTTGTTTTTTTAGTATTTTCTTGTCCATAACCCACTTACCAACCTTATTGTGAGTTTCCAGCAACTTCCCCAATTATAAAACTATTTGAATAAAAACAATGCTCACTTGTATTGCATTTACCATTGGGGCTGTTATACTCTGTAAACATTGGAGTATTTGAATTGATGGAATCCAGAGAAACTTACATAGATATTCCCATTGACTTTTACCTCATGACTGCATGAATAAACCATTGCTTCAAGCTGAAGCTCCTAAATTGCTAAACAACATACTTCTATCACAGACAATGTATATTTTAAGACAATGTTTAAGAACTTTTAAACCTGTGAAGTAGACTTTTTCAAGAATCTCTATTAAAAAATCTTGACTTGTAGGCAATTATTTCCAAGTTCTACTTCTCCCTAATTTGCCAAAATTTTAAGCAAAATGACTCAGTTTTTCCATTGTCACTCACCCATGGCATAAAACATACTTTCTCAGTACAAATTCTAACATCTATACTGGAAAGCTATTTTACAAAGTTCTTGCTGCATACTGAGTGATATTTGAATCCAGATCTCTAGTGTAAAAATCAGCACTATATTCATGGACAGAGAATACAGAATGTGAAAGAATATTAGAAGGAACAAAGATTGCATAGTTTTGCAAATGAATAACTATATTTGGCTCATTATTGCTATGAGCACTTATAAAACCACCAAGAGATCAATATCAGTTCATTAAAGGCAGCGGACAATTTCCCATTTCAAATCAAGACTGACCGTGATTTTCTCAAGAAATTGAAAAATGCAGTACCTTTATATAGACAGACTGCTATAAAATGAATATTTTTAGGGAAGGGATACTTAATATATACAATTAATGAAAATCATTCTCTTGATATAGCACATTAGGGTTTTCAGCCTAATCTGAAAATCACATCTGGGACATTTTTCTGACATTCTAAATTACTTCTAATAATTGTACTGCATTCAAACATTGTGAGCTTTTTTAATTGTTCGTCTGAGAATTTGATTGTTAAAAAAACTATGATTGGTTTGAATGTTGTTGAAATTTCATGAAAGATTTGTTTATTTTTTTTATTGATTTCCACAGATTCATACTAAGAATTCCAATGGCAAATCACTGAATCAAATCTAACTGACTTCAACAGTTTAACACTGGTTCAAGCATCTGCTTCTCTCTCATTTCTCAGTGTTGGAGTATTTAACTTTGTCGTAAAAATACCCCAATAAAAACCCAAAGAGGAAATCACAAGCAATAAATCTTACTTTAAGATCAGAGGTTTATTTTCATGAGCCATTTGGAATATGAATAGCCAGCATAGCAGTACAATTCCACAACAAAACTTACATTATTAAACCATTGCAGTGGGGTCCAATGACACATAACAAGTCCTTCATGGACTGCCATCAGGCAAAGGACACCATTCTCATCTCAAGCCACATTTCTTATACCTTCTTTTTTTACTGACATACACATTCCATAGTTTCACATTCCCTGTTCTTTCTTACATTCTTACTGACCATCACTCTCTTCAAACACCCGTGTACATCTCAAACCTCTTATCCATTGGCTACTTTCAGTTCCCTATTTCTCACAGTTTCAACGTTCTCATTCCAAATATATCTCAAAACCACGTATTTTGCAGAAAATGCAGCACACAAGTCAGCATATTAGAAATATGTCTAGTACATTTTGCAATTATGTTAGTTTAAAACTTTGGTTCAGTGAGGCCTACAAGCCCACTTCTAGGCCTTATTATCTGCAACTTTCCAATGGATAAATTTCTCTTCTCACAAGTTGAATAAGATACTGTCAATTTTATAGAAGAAAATTGAATATGCATATATTCAATATATATACACACACATACATACATACATATATTATACATATGTATGTATGTATACATGTATATATGTATATTTCTAGGAATATGATCCTTCTTGGTATAAAGGGTTATAAAGAAAATATTCAAACATTTCCAGACATAGCAGTTATGATGAGCTGTGTCAACAAAATGTGCCATCTTGGCAAATGCTCAGATTATGAGAAAATAAGTACTTAAATATCATCACTTTTATTCATCAGTTTCAGTCTTATTAAAATCACATCATTGTATGAGCATGGTGTGCCCAGAAATGTGTATGTCCAGCAATTGCTTTGATAGTAGCCATATATCTGTTTTTATTAAGGCTTTGGAATGTAATTTGCAATCATCTTTTGCTCATTTTTCATGCCTTCCTAATTGACCAATAACATATGGATTCAATTATTTATAGTAATAGTAGTATTTTTATTGCAGTCACTAACCAGCATTTTATACAATGTTGTGAAAGGGTTATTGAGTTCAAATTAAGATACATAAACATTTACTAAATAATTGATGGAAATAAAATGGCTCAAACTAAAATAAACAGTAAATAGGTGTCTAAAAGTAGAATACTAAAATATTTTAGATGATTTGAATAATAAAATAACTTTGTAAATAAAATACTGAAATACTAAAAATGCCAAATTATGAAACTTAACAGTGAAGATGTAGATTCAGTCCATAAAACTGGATAAGAAGCAGAAGGACACTTTGTAAATCCATATAGTCCTAAAAGGAGAAAAATGGTTTCCTTTATAAGGCTCTGGCAACTGAAATAAATTTTGTGACTTCACTAGAGATGTTAAGATCTCAGTCAGACAGTAAAAAAAAAAAAAAAAACCCCACTTGAAATCATTCTCAGAACAGATTGGACTTCTTTGGCAAGCAAAGCTAGGGTAAAAATTATGGTAGAAAGGACATAGAAATACATAGTCTGTCTGCAGTCTCACTTTTGTTCATGTGATAAGCAGATTCACTCTGCAAAAAGGGTATTGTTATACCTTCCCTCCTGTATCATAGGAAGTATGCCCATAAAATGGGCTAAAGAAAGAACTTTACAATGCTTTTAGCAAGTAGTACTGAATGGGTAATTTGTTAGCATAAAAGGGTTTCTATTTATATCTTGTCGGTAGTAATTGCCTGGAACACCTTGTTGTACCTGGTGAGTTCTTTGAAACAACCACTGCCAGATGGCAGGTCTAGTTTTTGATAGGTCCCATGGCCAGAAGACTTGGCACAAGAAGCATGGATCAGTCTGAATTTTAGTTTTCAAGAAAGAAGCAAAAGCTCTAGAAGGATCATGGTGGCCAAGGAATCACTAGAAAAATAAAGCTTGAGCCAGAAGTAGAGCCGGCATATGCAGATCTTAAATCTCAGGGGCTCATCCCACTTTCTAAACAGGTTGCTGCATTTAAAATGCAAAAAGCTTCATGGAATAGCACTCTTAGAAATCTAGAATGGATTGTAAAGTACTATGTGCATATGCCTGTGAGCCATATAATGTGGGAGATGGATTTGGCGTGGAATACCACCCCAAGATATCCGAAGGATAAAATGTGGTCTATATATTTATTTTTGTCTACAGTGTTGTTTGCAGAATCTTAGTTCTTTTGGGGGGACCAACGTGCCCCCCCATAATTTTGTTCTATAATATTTTGTTATAAGCCTTTTCTTTCTATAGTATTTCTCCAGAGTCTATACTAGTTACTGTACAGAACATAAGTGAATGTAATGCTTCCAGTTTTTAAAGAAGGTATTCCATTATGTATAGTTTACTTTTTCTAAGCAAAGCATCTTGGATGTGTATAAATTTGCTACCAAATATGAAATAAATTTTCTGTCATTGAAATTTATGTACATTTTGATGTAGCTAAAATTTGTTTTAATTACATTTTTCCCCATTCCGAAGAGTTTCCCACCCCCCCTCCCTGCTAGTAGGCAAAGACATATTTTATTTTATTTTCACACTGCCAAGTTAATTCTGCAGATTAGCATGCAGGAAATAATATATATCATGTAAACATCATCTTGAAGCAATTTTCTCTTACATCCATTTCCCTTTCATAGATATAGCATTAAATATTGGCTGGATTGCTATACTACATGAAGACGAGGCTTTTTTGAAACACTGGGGCATTCACACAAAATGATATGACTTAACTTAAACTGCAGTGGCTGGATACATACAACATGACCCAGTTTGGTCTAGTGCAGGGGTCTGCA